GAGCTGGTGCTTCCTCTAATTTGCCTGATTTATTAAAACATATACTTGGAAAAAGAATCTAACATTCATCAATCCTAAGGTAAAGATGTCTGATAATAGTTCACAATATTTATTCCCCAAAGGACATTTAGATTTCAGTAAAGATCAAAAAATAAACTAAACCAATAGGATTGGAGAATAGTAGAAACATCTTGGAAATTATGAAAGGTGGCTTTATAATCTACTTCTAAGATCAGCTGCTTCTAAGCATTTGATAACAGGACTTTCTGTAATCTGTCAGAAAGACTTAACTATTCTATCTTTTAATGATGAACAAAATAAAATATATGTCTGCTAGATTGTCTCTCAGCATTAGTTCTCTTTTCTACCTCAAGACCATGCAAGTTGTGACATGCACTGAAGTAATTAAATGCCATGAAGCATCCTCAAATTTTGTTCATGCTCAGCCAAATTCATATCTTCTTCCACACCTCTTGGTAGGTGTGGAGCCAGAGCCTGGAGGAAGATTGCACACATTAGTCCTTGCAAAAATGATGAGCTAGTCGCCATCAAAGTAGCGGTCTTTTCTGTGCAGGTCAATCTCAGCAGTCAGTCTGTATGGGGCCTTCTCCTTAAAGATTTTATCTTAGTAATCTTTGGTTAAAGTAAACATCAAATAAAGCCTTGGAAAGAAAAGATGAATAATAGGAATAATAACAAAAAATACAATGTTGAGCATTTTGTTACCACTACCTCATGTAATCCTCACAATGAGCCATGAAGTTGATGTTATTCCCATGGTAGATACATTCTCAACCTCTCAGAGGATACGTGAAACCTTGGATAGTACCAAATCCCATATATACACTCTTTTTTTCTATACATATATACCTATGAGAAAGTTTAATTTATAAATTAGGCACAGAAAGAGATCAAAGCAATAACTACTAATAAAATAGAACAATTAATACATTGCAGTAAAAGTTCCACAGATGTGGTCTCTCTGTCTCTCTTAAAATGTATTATTGTACGGTACTCATCATTTTTCTTGTGCTAATGTGAGATGATAAAATGCCTATGTGGTGAAATTAAATAGGTGAATGACGTAGGCTTTGTGATGTGGTGTTAGGCTGGTGTTGACCTGGTAATACATCAGAAGGAGGACTATCTGTTTTAGGTGATTCTCAGTCATTGAGCCATGAGATTGTCAGTGGTTGGATATCAAAAGCAGACCACATAGAGGACAAATGGAAAGTGATGAGGATAAAGACATTACAATATGGAGAAGAGTCAGACCCATAAACACTTCTTTGAAATCCTGTGTAAGGCATATGAGAGATGACTTGTTATCTAGTCCCATGACTGTAGGGAACCTTCCTCATGTTTTCCTGATAACCACACAGAGGACAAAACACTTGGGTTTAAATGTAGTGGGAGAGGGATCTTATGGTTCTACTAGCATGTATACAATCATTTAAAGGAAGTGAGCAGGAGATTACCATGCAGCATGATTTATAATTTGCTAAAGATAAGCTAAAGGTTTAATATGAATATGAAGGATGGGCCTAAAGCACCTGTGTGTGGTGGTGGTGATTAAGAAAGGCTTCTGGAAGAAGTGACATTTTAACTTAGTTCTGAGGAAATTTTAGGAATCAAGCAGTTTAAGGAGAAAGAATGGAATTGAACAAAGTGTAGTAGGTTTGAAAGGGTCCACCTGCCCAGTTGAAGAGGGGCAGTGGAACCCAACCTCTCTTACTTATCCTAGGATAATTTCCACTGCCCTGCAGCATCAGTGAGACCAAGACATGAGCAGACAGCACTCCACTCAGCATCCTGCCCATGCTGTTTGCCTAGAAGAGGTCCACAGAGCCATTTGGGGAGTTTAAAGCTGAGTCATATGCCCAAAGTGCCATTTTAGTGGTTGAAAGTTCCAATAGCACTTAGTGGTTGAAAGTGCCATTTTAGTGGTTGAAAGTGCCAGCAGCCCAGGAAGGGATGTGGAGATGGGGACCTCCCCTCCTTCAACTACCCAATGCTATGAACATAGCCAAATGTGCTTCTAAGTATGACCTCTTGGGGTAGGTGAACTGTAGAATGGCCATTTGTAGGCTTACATGGAGGGGGATAGACCTTCAAAAGTACTCTGCTCACTACACTTGGGTTCTGTACAAAGAATGGAGTATATTTTCTTCTCCTCATGAACAGGTAATGTTTTTGCAGCTGTCTCAACATGGAAATCTCAGTCCCTGGATCTCTACAATGCTAGATCCACAGCCAATATCCCCAGGACCCACTCACACTGCAGTAGTCTTGAGAGCCTTCTGGGTTCCAGGAGAACTGAGGATCTCCTGGAGCTTGGATATTAGGGCAGACCACTTCCAGGTGAAAGGTGAGTGTAGCTTTTTGGAGCACCCCTCAGAGAAGGAGACTAGGACACCAGCTTCAGCTTCCCACCATTTGGGTCCTTCTCCTTCTTTATCTCTGCCCCTCCCACCACTGCCAAGTGAGATGGTCATGGTTGTATCCACATGGGGCAGATGAGCATTCCATAGGAGACCATTAAGCCAGGGTACTTGGGAGTGGCTTCCCCACCTCTAATATAGGGCCTGATATACTCATGATTCCATAGAGCTTGGAACCCATTCCTTTCTCTGTAAAAGGCCACAGCAGATGCTTCTGTGTGAACAAAGACAAACGCTAACACCTCCTGCAGGGGATGGGGCTATCAGTCTTCTCTGTGAGCTATTTGTCTCTTCTTTCAGGAGCTGACTTTCTCTGTAGGTAAGTCCCTTGCACAACCACACCTTTTATGCTAGAACATTTCAGCCAAGACCCACAGCCAGCCTCCACCATCACCAGCTGGGCCATGGTGAGAGCTGAGAATCTGGGTACTTTTATTTCCCTGGAGGATAGAGACCACTGTTATTGTTGAGAGAGGGAGGAGTGAGCAGCTTGTGTGTCCCACAACTGCCTTCTTCAAGAGGAGCCTTCCCCTCCCATCTCAGGTTCACATTGCATCCCCCTTTTAATATCTGGACATCCCTCTGGAGCAGAAGACCACCTCCTCCTTTCATTACCACAGCCAGCTCTGGAACTTGAGGAATGAGAGCAAGTTTGCCAGCCCACTATTGGTCTGGTTTCTCAGGCCTCAAGCACACCATCCAGAGGCCTGGAAACTGGAGATTACTTAACCTACACCAACTCATTTGGCACCTGAATATCCTCCCAGAGGTCCAAGGTCCAATTGACCCAAAATGCCAGCAACACCATAGTGGGTACTCACCTGCACAAAGAATCACACTAGCTCTCCAGCAGTGATTTCCAACCAAAACAAAATTACTGAAATGTCAGATACATAATTCAAAATATGGGCTACTAGTATGACTTAATGATTGTGAAGAAAAAAATATGATTTGTAATGAAGCTCAATGAAATTGATAGAAAAGTTGAAACATAAAGAAAGTAAAAAGAAAAATTAAGTACATAAAGGAAAAAATTACTAAAGAATTTTTACTACAGAATAGATATTGAGGGGTGGCACCTGTGGCTCAAAGGAATAGGGCACCGGTCCCATATGCTGGAGGTGGCAGTTTCAAACCCAGCCCTGGACAAAAATTGCAAAAAAAAAAAAAAAAAAAAAAAAAGTAAATGATATATATATATATATATATAGATATAAAGTCTAAAGAATAGATGTTTAAAAAGTAAGTAACAAAACTTCTGGAAATGAATTACTTAGGGAATTTCAAAATATAGTGGAAAGTCTAAAACACATTAAACTATGCAGAAAAAAGAATTTCAGAACTTGAAGGTAAGGCTTTGAAGTAGCCCAGTCAAAAGTGAAGAAAAAAGAATCAAGAGAAATGAATTAAAACATTGAGAAATATGAGATTATGTAAAACGCCCAAACTAAAAATCATAGGTATCCCCAAGGGAGAATAAGAAAGAAAATACATGGAAAACCTATTTGAGAGAATATGGAGGTAAATTTCCCAGGTCTTGCTAGAGATTTAGACATCTACATATAAAAATGTCAAAGAACTTTAGAATATTCATTGCAAATAGGACATCACTAAGGCATATAGTCATCAGTCTGGCCAACATCAAAGTGAAGGAGAACATTCTACAAGCTGTGAGACAAAAGTATCAAGTAACCTATAATGAAAACCCATCAGACTAAGAGCAAACTTTGCAATTAACCCCTTAATAGCCAGAAGGAATAAGTCTATCTTTAATTTCCTTAAACAGAATCTCTGTCAGTCAAGAATTTTGTTTCATGAAAAAGTAAATTTTATAAATGAAGGCAAAAGAAAGTCTTTCCCAGACAAGCAAACACTAAGGAAATTTGTCATCACTAGACCTGCCCTACAAGCAATGCTAAAAAGTTCTCTAAACACCAGAAAGAACAATCATCACCAGTGTAAAAAAACAAAAACAAAAACAAACAAAGAAAAAAACTTGAAAGTAAAAACTCACAGCTCTGTAAAACCGTAACACAAGGGAGAATACTTGGCAACTAGGTGACAATCAACATGATGACTAGAACGCTATCTCACTTATCAGTAGCAATGAGTGTGCATAGTCTAAATACTTTACTTAAAAGATATAGATTGACAAAATGGATTTTAAAAAAACCCAAATATGTATTGTCTCCAAGAAACTCATTTAAGTTATAAAGACTTACACAGACTCAAGGTAAAGTGGTTGAAAAATATTTCATCTAAGTGGAAACCAAGGGCAAGCAGGAATAGCTATTTCCATGTGAAACAAAACAGACTTTAAGTCAACATCAGTAAGAAAAGAAAAAGATGGTCATCACAGTATAATAATAAAGGGATCAACTCAATGGGAAGATGTAAGAATGCTAAATATATAGGCACCTAAATCTGAAAATCCTAGATTCATACAACAAATATTACTGGACCCAAGAAATGAAATAAATAGCAACTTAATAATACTGGGAGAATCCGGAGTCCAGTTGGAATTTTGGCGGGTCCGGCTGCAGACCTGGAAGAGCCAAGATTGTGGACATTGCTCCCCTCCTGGACACTCAAGACTCCTTCAACGTTTCCTGTCACAAATATCCTCCTGACAGCATGGATGGAGAGGAAGATGATCTGTCTCTGCTGACCGCACTGCTGGAGGAGAATGAATCAGCCTTGGATTGCGATTCAGAAGAGAGTAACCCCTTGACCCAGGAAAGTGGCGGACCTGATGCCTTCGACGAGCTCTTTGATGCCGCTGGTGACGGCGAGTCTTACACAGAAGAGGCTGATGATGGAGAAGTGGGACAGACTGACGACCAGAAGGAAAATTTGGCCACTCTCTTTGGAGACACTGAAGACTTAACAGATGAGGAAGAAGCTCCTACATTGCAAGCAAACAAAAATAGGGTTCAACCTGTTCCTGCCCCCCGACAAGAGAAAACGAATCAAGAGTTGCAAGATGAATTAAGGAAGTTGCAAGAGCAAATGAAGTCCTTACAAGAACAGCTAAAAGTAGCAACAATTAAACAGGCTACAAGCCCCGCCCTTCTGCATAAATCCCCTGAGAAGTCTCCAAGGCCCCCTCTTAAGGAGAAGAAAGTGCAGAGAATCCAGGAGTCGTCGTGCTTTTCTGCAGAGCTCGATGTCGCTGTTCAACCCAGAGCCAAGTGGGTGGCAAGGATGCCAAAGGCTTCACCTGCAGAGCCAAAAAGCTCATCATCAAGGATGACAAGTTTACCTTCCCAGCCTCTCCACACTACTCCTGGGAACAAACCCACTGGGATGACAAGAAATAAGAGCACAGGGACCCCAGGATGTTCTGGGGAAACGGCTCAGAGTGTCTCTGTGGAAACCTTCTGCGGCCTGCGGCTCAGGCGGCCTCGAGTATCCTCAACAGAAATGAACAAGAAAATGATCGGCCGAAAACTGATCAGATTGTCTCAGATCAAGGAAAAGATGGCAAATGAGAAACTAGAAGAAATAGACTGGGTGACATTTGGGGTTATTTTGAAGAAAGTTACTCCACAGAGTACAAACAGTAGGAAAACATTCAGCATCTGGCGACTGAATGATCTTCATGACCTGACACGGTGTGTGTCCTTGTTCTTATTTGGAGAAGTTCACAAAGACCTCTGGAAGAGGGAACAAGGTACTGTCATAGGGTTGCTCAACGCTAACCCCATGAAGCCCAAGGATGGCTCAGAGGAGGTGTGCTTATCTATTGATCATCCCCAGAAGGTCTTAATTATGGGTGAAGCTCTTGATCTTGGGACCTGTAAAGCAAAGAAGAAGAATGGAGACCCTTGTACACAGATTGTTAATTTGCGAGACTGTGAGTACTGTCAGTATCACATCCAGGCTCAGTACCGGAAGCTCAGTGCACGTCGAGCTGACCTGCAGTCCACCTTCTCTGGAGGACGAATTCCAAAGAAGTTTGCCCGCAAAGGCATCAGCCTCAAAGAACGGCTGTGTCAAGATGGTTTTTACTACGGAGGAGTTTCTTCTGCGTCCTATGCGGCCTCGCTCGCTGCAGCTGTTGCCCCTAAGAAGATGATTCAGACCACTCTGAACAATCTGGTTGTCAAGGGTGCAGGCTTGATCATTCAGGAAACAAAGCAAAAATTCGGAATACCCCAGAAGAGCTTATCTTGCTCTGAGGAGTTCAAGGAATTGATGGACCTGCCAACGTGTGGAGCCAGAAACTTGAAACAACATTTAGCCAAGGCCACGGCTGCAGGAATCATGGGAGGCCCCAAACCTGCCATCCAGTCGATATCAGCCTCGGCCCTCTTGAAGCAACAGAAGCAGCAAATGTTGGAGATAAGGAAAAGGAAATCAGAAGCTCTCCAGAGACAATTTCTTCAAAGCTCAAGTGAAGTCAAGAGCCCAGCTGTGCCATCCTCATCCCAACAGCCCCCTGCCCAATCTCCACGGGTGGGTGCGGAGTTCCCCAGGATGGAAGGAAGCCCAACCACATTGATGCCCAAGCTTGGGCGTGGCATCTCAGAAGGAGATGACGTTCTCTTTTTTGATGAGTCACCACCACCAAGACCGAAACTGAGTGCTTTAGCAGAAGCCAAAAAGTTGGCTGCTATCACCAAATTAAGGACAAAAGGGCAGATTCTTACAAAAACGAACCCAAACAGCATTAAAACAAAGCAAAAGGACGCCCAGGACGTCCTGGAAGTGATGGAACGTGTAGAAAAGAACACCACATCTTCTCCCCCAGCTGAGGATGAATTGGAGCCTGCCGTGAAGAGGAGAGAGCAGCTTGCCTACCTGGAATCTGAGGAATTTCAGAAAATTCTAAAAGCAAAGTCAAAGCACACAGGCATCCTGAAAGAGGCCGAGGCCGAGCTGCAGGAACGCTATTTTGAGCCACTGGTGAAAAAAGAACAAATGGAAGAAAAGATGAGAAACATCAGAGAAGTGAAGTGTCGGGTCGTGACGTGCAAGATGTGCAACTACACCCATTTCAAGCCTCTGGAGACCTGCATCGCTGAGCAGCACGACCTCCACTGGCACGACGGCGTGAAAAGGTTCTTCAAGTGTCCCTGTGGGAACAGGAGCATCTCCCTGGACAGGCTCCCAAACAAGCACTGCAGTAATTGTGGCCTCTACAAATGGGAACGAGACGGAATGCTAAAGGAAAAGACTGGTCCAAAGATAGGAGGAGAAACTTTGTTACCAAGAGGAGAAGAACATGCCAAATTTCTAAATAGCCTCAAATAACCCTGAAGTCAGGTGTTTTGCCCCAACCTTCTTTTCCTCCTGTGGCTCTGGAAAGGCAGCGAATGGGCTCTGGATTGCCCCTGTGTTCCTAACTGACACCAGCAAAAAACGATGCTCGTTAAGCCTATAAGCTTTGCTTACTTCTGTCGTGTGGGTTTAACACCAAATTCAGCATGGCCGTTGACATGGGAAACTAGAATAGTGTTGTCTTTCCTGTTCTCACTCCTGGTGACAGTGAATAGGTGAAAGAAATTTTTGCCCCCAAACCAGAAGATAAACCAAGAGGTATGTTTCTCTTGGTATGTCTCTCTGGTTATAGAGAGTATGCTCCTTTATCTCAATAAAGTTCTAATATTTACATGGACACCAGAGGCAAAAGAATTCATTCTGGTTAACTCTCCCGGCAGGTAAGTTGCTTAACTTCTGGGCTTCAGTTTCAATTGTGTGGTTGAGGAGGATTGGACTAAGTGATCTTGAAATATATTTTTCAGCACTCACGTTCTACAAATAATGCAACTTTTTCCCATTTAAATAATTATGATCTAAGAAAACCAATAAATATTTATGATTATCGCCCCTAACATATTGACATTAAAAACCATGTTCCTTCTTACTGCAAAAAAAAAAAAAAAAAAAAAAAAATACTGGGAGAATCCAACATTCCACTGAGAGAACTGAACAGGTCATTGAGGCAGAAAATCAATAAAGAAACATTGGACTTAAACAGGACTCTAGAACAAATGGACCTAACAGACATTTACAGAACATTCTAAGCCCAAACTGCGGAATATACATTCTTCTCATCAGCACATGGGCATTTTCCAAGATAGATCATATGTTAAGCCAGAAAAGAAGTCTCAGAAAATTAAAAAAATGAAATCATGCCATATATCTTCTCGTAACACAGTAGAATAAAACTAGAAATTAATTTTAAAAGGGACTCTCAAAAATACCAAAGTCACTTTTCACATAATTAGATAAAATAGTCTTAAATTTTATATGGAATTAAAAAAGAGCTTCAATAGCCAAAGCAATCCTAAGCAAAAAGAACAAATCTGGAAGCATCATATTATTTAACTTCAATTTGTACTACAAGACTATAGTAGCAATCAAAATAGTCTGGTGCTGGTATAAAAGTAGACACTGGATCAGGGGAACAGAATAGAGAATTCAGAAATAAAATCACACAACTACAGCCAACTCATCTTCAACAAAGTAGACAAAAATTTTCACTGGGGAAAGGGTACCCTATCAATAAATGGCAGTGGGAAAACTGGAGAGCCACATGCAAAAGAATAAAACAACCCCTGTCTCTCACCATGTGCAAAAATTAACTCATGATGGATTAAGAACTTAAATGTTAGACCTGACATTATATAAATTCAAGAAGAAAAATCTTAGAAAAAACTATTCTGGACTTGGCCTTGGCAAAAAATTTATGACTAAGACCCCAAAAGCAAATACGACAACAACACCCCCCCCCAAAATAAATGGGACATAATTAAGCACAGCTGAAGTTTATGCACAGTTTATGCACAGCTGAAGAAATAACCAACAAAATAAACTAAGAACCTAGAAAAAAGGAGACAATATTTGCAAATTGGATATATGACAAAGGACTAATATCTAGGAAGAAATCAAACAAATTATCAAGTAAAAAAAGTTACTCCATTAAAAAGTAGGCAAAGTATATGAACAGACATTTTTTAAAAAGAAAATATACACATGAATAACAACATATGAAAAATACTCAGTATCACTAATCATCAGGGAAATGTAAATTAAAACCACAAGGAGACACCACCTTACTCTTGTCGGAATGGTCATTACTAAAAATTCACAAAACAACAGATGTTGGTGTAATGTGGTAAAAAGAAAACCCTTATTCACTTTATTCACTATGGTAGGAGTTAAATTAATACCACCTTTGTGGAAAACAATATGGAAATTCCTCAAAAAACTAAAAGTAGATGTACCATTTGATCCAGCATTCCCACTACTAGGTGTCTACCCAAAGGAGAAGAAATCATTATATCAAAAAAATACATGAACTTGTATATTTATTGTAGCACAATTCATAATTACAAAGATGAAGAATCGACCATGTGTCCCTCAACTGACAATGAAATAATGAAAATGTGAGATACACACACACACACACATACACACACACACCATGGAATACTACTCAGGCATAAAATAGCATGAAATAATGTCTTTGTAGCAACTTGGGTGGAACTGGAAGCCATTATCCTAAGTGAAGTATTTCAGGAATGGAAAAACAAACACCATATGTACTCACTTCTAAGTAGGAGCTAAGCAATGGGCATTCATGGTTATACAAAGTGTTATAATAGACTTTGTAGGTTCAGAACAGCAAGGATGGGACTGGGGAGAGGGAGAAAAAATTACCTATTGAGTACAATATACATTATTTGCATTACAATAACACTAAAAGGACTGATTTCATTATTCAATTCATTCATGCATCAAAAACCTTGAACCCCCTAAATCTATTGAAATAAAAAAATAAAAACATAAATGCAGACAAGAAAGAAATAAAATAAAACAATGCTGAAAATCAAGTATTAACAAAGAATGATGTGAGTCTTCTGGATTTGGCAACAAAGACTTTGTCATTATCTTGGGAAAGTATTCTCTTTGTAATTAAGAAGATGGAAGACCTAGGTGAGGACTATACGACAGAGGAGAAGGAGGAGACTTAATTTCTGAACGTTTATCTATGATGATAGTGTCAGGATGGTGATGTTTTGGAAGGAGTTACCTTTTTTTTGGTTATACTTTTTATTAATGTACAATATATCATAAATGTAGTAAATGCACAGGTGGATGACACATTTTCATGATGTAACTATTCTCCAGACTAAGACATGGAAGTTTCAGCCTTCTGGTGGCCTCTCTCATTCATGCTCTCTGCCAGTTATTACCAGTTGGCAAAGGTAGCAACTCTCCATCAGCATAAATTAGTTTGCCTGCTTTTGAATCTTGCTTTAATGGAGTTCTACAAGGTCTGACAATTAAGTTTGTGAACTCATCCCACAACAAGTGCTACGTACCTCTTTGCTGAATACACATATCACTATGGTCCCCTTCAAAGTACTTCCCTTGGCCATGTGGTGACTGGAGTGATATTCAGCAATGAGATATATAGCACTTTTTCTCAGATGAGTGCACAAACTTAAATTGACCTCATATGATGACATTTCTGATGTCCGTTCCAGAAAAAGAGTTCCAAATTGCTTTGAAGGGTGGACGAGGCATTGGCATTGGTACATGTTTTCCCAAGGGGAGTACTTCAAAGGTGACCATAGTGATATTCACCAATAAGGTATGTAGTACTTTTTCTAGGACTGAGTTTGTGAACTTAATTATCTGATCTCATATAGTCTGTACTTTCTGTTTCTGGCATTTTTTTTCTCAATATTGTATCTTTGAAATTCATCCATGTTGTTGGGTATAAGTATAGTTTGTTCTTTTTCTTTGTTGTCTGGTGTTTCATTTTATAATTAAATCACATTTATTTATCAAATTTGCTATTGGTTGACATTTTGAGTTGTTTCCCCTTTTATTTGCTATTAAAAATAATGTTTCCCTGCAAATTATTATTTGTATTCCCTGTATATTCTGCACATATATGTAGAAGTTCAATTGTTGGGAAAGAGGACATGAGAGTATTTAGCATTAGTGAATGCAGCCAACTGACTTTCCAAGAGTTGTTCAAATTTTTAACTCCCACCAGCAATGTATGAAAGTTTCATTTTCTCCACATCCTCACCAACATTTGCATTGTCTTCTCCCAACTACTTTTGGCTTTTCTGGCAGATATGTGGTGATATCACATCATAGATTTACTTACATATCCCTGGTGACTTAACGATGTAGAACACCTTTTAGATGCTTGTTGGCCATGTAGATACCCTCTTTTGTAAGGTGCCGCTTCACGTCTTCTACCTACATTTAAAAGTTAGAACATGTCTCTGTTTTTCAAAATTGCTTTGTAGAAGTTCTTCTTTTATAATGAGAAAGATTTGACTACCACAGCTATTGATCAAAAAAGTCAAGTAATCATAGGAGTTAACATAGATTGTCAGATACCTTTCTAAATATTTTCTTTTTTTTTTTTTTAAACTTTTATTTTTTTATTTTTTTATTTTTGTTGTTGTTGCAGTTTTGCCAGGGTTGGGTTTGAACTCACCACCCTCGGTATATGGGGCTGACACCCTACTCACTGAGCCACAGGCACCACCCTCTAAACATTTTCTATGTGTTAATTTACTTAATCCACACAAGTCAACTTTGATATAGAGACTGTTATTGCTTTTCCTCTCTTCTATGTGAGAAAAGTGAGAAACACTACCCACATGGCCAAGACTACATTAATAGTAAGAGGTAGAGCTGAGATTTGAACACAGTCTCCTACTAGAGCCCTTGTGCTTAACAGCTATACCTCCCTGCACTAGAATGTCGTTGATGGAGCAAGTTTCCTGAGAAGGAATGCTCGGGTTCTAAGACACAGATGGGAAGATTAGCCTTGGGTAGAATGAGGGACATGTCTAAGAGGTGAAGAGGAAAACTGAGAACAGGTGCAGTACGCCTGGAGATGGAGGGTGATAGGAAGCTGAGGAAATTTTCACTTCTCTTTGGTAAGGCAGAAGGCAAAGTCCTGTGTGAGAGTGAAGAGGCGGTGAGAATTTAAGAAGAGTGGAAGAAAATTTAAAATGGCAACTTTGGAAAATAAAATACTGATCAACTGCAAGACACAGCAGATTTCTAGGCGTACATGAGTATTAACATGAGGTTAAAGACCACAAATCTACTATGACACTAGCCTTGTGCTTGTGTGATTGATGGAAGCAGAGGATTTTAAAATGATTTAAGGTTAGATATTTTTTCTTTCATATGTATTGTATGAAGTTGAAGTCTGGGGTACTTGGACAGTTAGGAAGAGTGTCATCGAGGGAATGGACCATGGAGGTTTGCCTGGAGAGGGGTTGATATGCAGAGAGGGAGAAATGATAGGGACAGAGAAATAGTCCAAACTTGGCAAATCTTAATAGAGGTCTAAATTTTCATGAGTGAGTGAGTGAGAGGGCTGGAACAATGGGAAGTGGTGATCCAAGGTAGAGTATCTGAAATGGTGCTTTATGTTAT